TTAGAATTGAAATCTAATATTATGATTGTCCTCACTGCTCAATCCGTCTGGTGTAGATGTAACTTTAAAATCTGTAATGCAACACTAGGATCATGTTGCAATATGCTGCGTTGTTACTATATCATCACCAGATTTACAATAAAATAGATTTACTCTTTTTTTCTTTTTTTATCGATGTTTTACCTAGGTAGTCTACAGATTAACTGACCACAAGTTAGTATATGTATCCTTATTCAATTGTATACTAGGAGCCTGTTATAATAACTGTATTATAGAAATTTTTCATATTGATCCATGCACGACTTTCAGAATGTCAGAAGTTCATCCATTAATATATCTTAATGAACGATTTCATCACTTCTATAGTGTAAAAGTTTTGAATCGTCGATCATATTATGTCACTGAAACCTCATAAGCCTATAAGGCAAGAATATATTGCCAAGGTGCGTTATATTAATAATTTACCACCACCTCCGTTGAACCCTAAGTTTATAGATTACAATACAACCGAGAAGGTATCTTCCAAAACAGAATCAGAACAGTTGATGAGTTCTTTGTTCAGGAAAGAGAATTTTACTAGTTTTATAGAGTCCGTCGATGAAGAGTTGGGAATGAATTTGAATTTGATTAATAATTCGGGCTTCTTGGATAATGAAAATGAATCGAGTATTTACAACATGGTGGGTGAGAAGAATGATACCGACGATATTAAGCACGTTGTATTACATCCTAAGGATAGAGCTTTATTAAGAGATGCAGGCATTGGTAAGATATCTAAGTCAGAGCCAGATGTTTCGTTCTTGAGGAGAACTGAATATATTGCTGAGAGACAATTACCAAAATCGAACGGAAACTTGAAAGGAAATGATGATGTCGCGGAGATTGCTGAAGCAAAGAAAGCAGAAAATGCAAATGATCCTGCTGCTCAGTTGGCGGCTGTAGAGAAGACATTTGACCAGGCACAAGAAACTTTGGATAACTTCACTAATTTAAAACATCCGGGAAAGAAGCATTTAAAGGCAGTATCAACATGGCCATTATTACCCGATACTTCTATGATGGACGCAAAGTTCTTAACACTTAAATTTTCCGGTTCTGCATCGATTAGTCGTGAATTACAATTATTGAAAAGACAACAAAAAGACAAATACGACGAGGCATTCCAAAGGAACGCGTTGGAATCGGCTATTTTCAGGCCAATAACTTCGGAAGACGGTGAATGGATTTCGATGTATCAGGTTCGTGATGCTAAAAAGGCTGAAGAAATAAAGGAAAAATTGAATTCCAGCGAACGGGAACGCCCAGTTAATATATTGGATGAACAAGAGGGTATCGAGGACTACAAATTTAAGCACACTAAGGATTACGATATGAATTTTCATCGTTTTTCGAAACCATATGAAGAATTAGCAATTAAATTTGAACCAGCGGAAGATTCCTCTGAGACTAAGAAAACTCGCAAAAGAAAAGCTGCATATTACTATCCAGTTACGGGTAGAATCGATTTGAAAAAGCATAGAGCTTCTACAAACAGTGAAATTAATAGGTTTTTACGTGATAGTGCAGTGGATGTAATTAACTTTGCATTAAGAGAACCAAATACCAATGAAATGAGAAAGATGGATGCTATTAGATCGGAATTTGATCCAATGGATTATGAAGGTGAAGAAGATATTGCAGAAGAATTCGACGAGGCTACAGAAAACATTTCTGGTAATGCAGAATCTGCAGAAAAGGCCGAGGCCAACAATGTGAATGAACAAGAAGATTAGGAAAATCATTGACAGTTTTACGAAACAATGTATTATATAAAATTAAAATTTGTATTTAATTCAAACGTTAATTTAGCTAGACAATTATACATGTAGACTTCTTTTTCAGTTTAGTTTTCAGACTGCTATTTGATTCATTTAACGGTGGTGTGTTCTCCTCTTTTTTATTAAGTTTATTTTTATCCGATTTCTTGGTTGATGCCAGATCTTTTCTTTTAGTTTCATCTTTATTATACCGCTGCTGCATCTGCTTGGCTATTGCTTCATCCTCTTCTTCTTGTAATTGCTTTATTAACATATAATCATCATCGTTGCCATTCGATTCATCGTTTCCTAACACAGGGGCAAAATCGCCCGTGAAAAATAAATCATCCTTACCGGATACAGATATAAACGATTGCCAAACCATGTTTTTATAAGATTTATCACTTCTATCAAAGGAAGCGTCAGTAAGCAACAAATAAAAATCATTTTCATCCTTTTTATAAAGAGTGCTAAAGTGATTATTCCTGAAGAAAACAATGAATTCTTCAGGCTGTAATGTCTTATTTAAATGTTTCATTCCAGCATCAGTCAACTGAGTCGGATTATTATCTAACCATAACTTCATCATCGTTTGCTTTTCTTGAACTTCAATTCTCACATCATCTTGAATATCGTTCCTGGGTTCATAAAGCAAGAAGTCTTGAATCTCATCAAAGGTTTGTAGTTCACGAAAGATATTTTCCAAAGAAACACCGCCACCAACGCCAGGTTCGGACGAATTAGACGAACTCTCCAAAGATGGACAAAAATACCAACCATGTCTGAGCTTTAAGTCAAATAAATCAAATAATGTTGTTGATAAATCTTCTGGTGGGAATTTACCGTCTATGAGATTTGGATTAACAGAGAGACCAGTATGCAATAATGGCAAACTTTTCAATAGATTATCAAGATCATAATTAGAAACCTTGTTACCATGAACTTCTAGCATGGCTAGCAATATATCACCTAATTGAGATAGTAATCTATTTAATTCAATTGACCCTGTATTTGAGTGATCTTTTAACAACACTAACTTCAAGTTGTTTATTCCATCAAATTTTCTTTGTCTATTAGCTTGGTATTCGCCTTGAACGGGGTTGAAAGCTTCATTCCGAACGTCTATTTCATTCTTCAACAATAATGTGTTTACAAGGGCAATTAGCGGACATGGACCATTTAAATCCTGGAGTAAAATTGGAGTTTGATGCTCGTATTCGGACCACGTAATTACTTTTATTTGGAAAATATTGGAAGATTCTGCATCTTCAGGGTTGTTAAATTGAGACATATGTATTAGGTTCGAGAGTATATATCTTTCATACTTCCATTGAACATAACGAATTATTTGGCTGTGCAAGGAAGTTCAATTAGGATCGGCAATTCCCCAACCTTCCGAGATCTTTCGCACATAAGTCTAATCAGGCTACAAAGATGCAAAATATATTTCATATTAATTAACGTATATAATGACATGTACCGTACTCAATTTAAGTCAGATAGTCCTACCAAATAAAGATGCTATCAACTAATACATAAAATAAGAAATGACAACAGCAACGACTAAAAGACTTATTCCTACAGCTAAATTACATTTAGTTTCTTCTAAATTAACAGTTTCAGCAACTTGATCATCAACATTGGCTCTTTCTAAGATATTGTGGTTAATCTCCTGCTTTTGCTTTACCACTCCTTTTGGAATTGCATATTCTGAAGGGTACATCAACTCGCAAAATTGTTCGATTTCACCACATTTAATACCAATCTTTAAATAGTTTGGGTCTTGAACAGATGACTTATGATTAATTACTTGTATGTAATGCTTGAAGATTTTCACAACACCAGGCAATGTACGGCTATTAAGGATCAACCCACACGTGGTACCTTTTCTTATTTTAACATTTCCATGAAGAACATTTGGGTTGTTGTAGACCAAAGCTAAAGTAGAAATAGCCATTACTTGGGGTATGGCACAGAAATTGAAACACGAAGGGTCCCTTACTAACGACAAATACGTTAAAACGTCTTTGACATGACATAAGGCATTTAAGACTAATTCGTTGATACAGGCTAATCCCCGTTCCTGACTTTCTAAAGATGTATCTTTATGAAATGACGGTAAGGATGGTGTATGCTTTTCCCAGATTTCTTTAGGCCAGAATGATCTTCCGTCTTCCAAATCTTCATGGTAGTCTCTAATTATATTGGTTTTTTGTAAAAATAATCCCATAGATTCCGATTTCGCAAAATTATCTTGCGCAAGGCTGTTATCAGAAAAGCCGGCTAACACCATCAACTTGGTCAATCCTTCACCCACTAAACCTGCAACGTAATGACAATATAAATCGTATTCCCTAACGGTGGCTACTCCATTAACATTGAAATTATCATCCAAGATGTAGTCTGCCATACCATTACCCATTTCCTTAGTAATATGCTTAATTATATCTTGATAATCTTCCTTCAACTTGTGGTATTCCGCTAAAATGCATGGGAACTCAACCAACACACATCTGTCCTTCTCAGTCTTACTATTTCCATCAAATGACCAAGCTTTCATATTTAATTTATCATGGAATGTTCTTAATAACGGAACCTTGATTTCAGGATCAATAGTCATATCGTCCTCAACAGTATCTAATGCTCTTAAAATCAAATAGAATAACATCACGGCATCTCTCAATTCTGGATGTAATTCTTGGATAACTGCAGCAAAGGACCGTGAAGTTATGTTTAACAACTCATAGCACCTTTTAGATGCTTGTGTTTGTTTCGATGTATCTTGTGGATGTAAAGGCTGTCTGAAATACATCAATTGGATGACAGCCTTCAACTCAGTTGGATGAGAAATCAATTGGACAAATTTACCCATGGCTGAAATTTAACTGTAAGTATAAAAAAGAAGCGAAAAATTTACTAATAATAAAGTATTCAATGTCCAAACCAAAAAAAGACCAATCTCCGCAACCTTTTGTTTAGCTAGTTATTTAAATTAATGTTTTGTAAACTAATAAACTAAATATTTAGTACCGATTATCTTTTCATCGTATACGTATTGCTGAACTTCGCGTCTTTTCATAACAGAAAAATTGTCATGGCCACACGTGATATAATATGATTAAGGCCTACTACTAATGGAGACTACAAAATATTGCATTAATTAATAAATAGGATCATTATACTACAAAATAAGTCGGAAGAATATCATTTTGTAGTCTCAATCTTTTCAAACCACTTCCTTGCAGCTTTTATATTTTCTAATACTGCTAATTCCTCGTGAGTGTTAACATAGCTTGTCTCATCTTCCTTGTCCTTGAGAATAATCATAACCAACATATTATCAGTAAGCACGTCTATATAGAACTGGTTGCCCTTGGAGCCTCTTATCACCAAATTATGGAAGTTTGTTCTTAATTTTGTGACCGATTGTTTGTACGTTTTTATTATGCTTGAAATTTTTTCGAATCTCTTAGGGTCTAGGGCTGTGGTATCGATATTATTATCATCTTCGAGATGCAGTCTATTCTGCTGCTTCAATTGTTGTGCAATTGAGGTAGTTGACGAAATTACGAGGAAGGTCGTCTTTTCAAACAAAATAATTTCTTCGGCATCCAATATCTGGTTGAATTTGATCAAGTTATTATTATACACGTTCATGTTTGGAATCAACGAACATACAATTTGGGACCACGCTTTATACAAGGACTCGTCCCATATAGACGTAGGCAAGCCTACTAACTTGAACTGATATGGGTTTGAAATCTTCTGCAATTTTTCCATCATGATAACAAACAACTCATCTCGTTTGTCAATCTGTACTAGATCCATCTTATGCAACAATACAAATACCTTCGCATCTGGGCTGAATTTCTGTAAATTTGTTAACGATTTTACGAAAATTTCGATATCTTTATTAATCAGCTTAGACTCAACGTCAAATACATGTATGAGCACCTGAACCATTTTAAATATGTGATCTTTCTGCGTAGTGAAATAGTTATCCATAAAAACATCCTGACCACCACAATCCCATAAATTCAACGTCATATTTCCTAAGAACCGCAAGTGGGAATGCTCAACATCAATTGTTGCTCCTAGTCTTCGGGTGTCAAATGCTGAATAATTAGAGAAAATAATCGACCGCATCGATGATTTACCTGAACCTGAGCGGCCCATTAACAATAACTTCTTTCTGGATGCCTGTGACATATTGTGTTACAAGTCTACTCCAGTTTTATGCTTAATTTGTGTCTTTATGGTACAATTACGTCCTTATCTTCATCTCGAAAGGTTACATTTGATAGCGGTATTCACACTACCTTATGTCAGAGTGAAAGATGAAGTACTAAAGTATGTACAATTATGCTGAAGTGCTTATGATTGTCATCTTTCCTGCAAGAAAACATAATCGTATGAATACTATCATATAGTTTGATCTTATTCGAAAACAATGGGATGTGTGGCACTCTTCAGACTTCCGTATATGATGCAGTGTAGTTTAGGTATAAGATACTGAATACTAAATAAACAGGTCCATGCCAGTAAAAATTGATAATGCATACCGAAACGAGGGTAGCCCATGTGAATACCTTGGCTTTATTAGTTCAAAGTAAGTTTCCATATATGGCTTCTTGTTCTTTACTGAGTATTTATAGGTCAGGAATACCACAATTATAACTCCAAGTATGTATCCACGAGAGAATGAAGTTTACGTAGATATATAGAGATATAAAGAGCAATAATGGTAGATATGATGGCCAATTGAAGTATGGTAAAAACAAAAAAAAAGCCTAGCATGATCAATAGAACATGTGGCCTACTAAAGTTGAGAATGCATCAAATTTTATTGTTAACGCAGAATAACCGAATATGCTACAAGACGAGTGTCACTTATAAGCAGGAACTGGGTATACGTATATAATCTTCAATTTCTTGCATTCTTCATTTTAGCTTTATCCTTTGCTTTATCCTTTGCAAGCCAACAGGTGATTTTTGTGGAAAAGATGCTAATGTTCTTGAGGTATCTTACTTTCTGCTTAGTTTTCGCAACCATACCTGGCTGGGGCCATTTAATACCAGGTATCGGATCAATAAGTAAACAGTTGGATCGTCGAGATGGAAACTTGATTGATTCAATATATCAGAGTTTACCAATCGAGGATTTGAATTTTATTGATGTCCATTTGAAGAATTTAACAATTGATGGAAGCTCTTGTGACAAATGTAAGAATAAAATCCGTTACGGTCAATCGTTGATCAAGGAACAGCCAGACAAACAATATTTAATCAGTTTATTGTTGTTCAAATATTGTATGGTTCTGAATAAGAACAAGGAAAGCAAATGTGATAATGTGGATTTTTTTATTACAACTTCAGATAGGACCTCAAAGGGAGTAGTTGATAAATATGATTCCGGATTACATGACAGTAAGAGTATAGATTTCTTTGACAATGATTTTATTCACATGTTAAAACTATTCAATGTTTCTAGTGATTTAGATTTAGAATATTACTGTTACTACAAGAACGATGAAGCTTGTGATTTACCAGAAACTCCTGATATTGACTCGTTGTATAATCTTGATGCAAAGTGGCCAGCCAAGCAATCAAAGCATTTTTTACAACCTCAATATTCTAATGATACTCCAGAGAAATTTAATGTCTTACATTTTACTGATTTTCATTTTCAATCAAGATACCAAATCGGAAGTGAAAGTAACTGTACCACTGCGTTATGCTGTTTGCCTGAGGCTTACAACGAAGACTTAAATAATAAAGATTACAATTTCACAGATGCATATTTTAAGATAGATCCATCTATGCAAAGTAGGAAAGATATCGAATACTCCTTCTATCCTGAAGCTCGTTATGAAGATGGAGAATATATTAAGGGAGACTATTATGACTTTCCTAAAGACAGAGGCTATAACTTCAACTTGTTACCTGCTACATCATTCGGAGGTTATTTATGTGATTCACCTGAAGTTTTAATTAATAACAGTTTGAAGCAAATGAGTGAAGCATATAAGGAACATAAATTTGAATTTGCTTTGTTTACAGGCGATTTAGTAGATCATGACGTTATTCATTGTGATCCAGAAACAACCAAATATGAAGAAATCCAAACGTTTAGTTTAATGAAGCATTACTTGGAAAACATTCCAGTATTTCCTAGCTTGGGAAACCACGATACTTTCCCATATGGTCAATTGTCTCCAATTGATTATGATTATAACAACCTGTATCTGTGGAATGTCGAGCTAATGTCTGATTTGTGGATTTCAAATGGATGGTTACCCGAGAACAAATCGGATCAACTTAAGAGTCACTATGCTGGCTTTTCTACAGTGACGAATCGTGGATTAAAAGTAATTTCATTGAATTCAAATTGCTATTACCAAAAGAATTTATGGTCGTATGTGAATTTGCTGCAAAACGCTGATATATTCGGCCAATGGCAATTTCTTATAGATGAACTAATTGAAAGTGAAGCCAATAACCAGCGAGTTTGGATACTAGCCCACATTCCATCAGGCGATGCCGATACATTACCAATTCAGTCTAAAATATTTGCTAAGATCGTTGAAAGATTCTCCCCTTACACTATTGCAAACATATTCTATGGCCATACTCATAGGGATCAATTCCACATTTTGTATTCTTCGAATTCCTCTGATGCTAAAGAAATTGAAGACGTCATTAATATGTCTTGGGTATCTCAATCCATTACGCCCTTAACCGATAACAACCCATCTTGGAGATATTATGAAGTTGAAGATGGGTCTTTCAATATTTTAAATTCTTACAATTACTACACTCAACTCAATGATACATTTACGAACGGTGGTAATGAGCCAGATTGGAAATTCGAGTATTCGGCCAGAGATATTTATGATCCTAACGGCGAGTGGCCAGCTGATTCGCCGTTGAATGCTACTTTCTGGCATAAATTTGTTCTCACGAACTTGAAAAACCAATCAAATATTGAATTTAATCAATTGTACACAGACTTGCAATATAGAATGTCGCCTAACGTACCAAATTGTACAAACGGTTCTGTAATTTCCCGAACTTGTTATAAAGAGAATTGGTGTGACGTGAGTTCCTTTATTTCAGAAGAATATCTCAAGTGTCTCCAATCTTAGATACTATTCTTATATAGAGTCCATTTATGTTTTTATCGTGTTCTGGGTGCAAAGTATCTGACTTCTATTAATATACATTATAAACGAGAGCTATTATAAAGCTATCATTACCATTGTTCCTGATTCTCATTACTCATATCGGCCATTGGATTGAAGGTTGTAGGTGCCTTGAATGATGGATCACTGGATGGAATATAAACGGATGAATCTTGCTGTGGGTTAGACGAGTTTTGATTTCTATATCCACCACGTCCTCTACCACCTCTAAAACTGCCTCTTCCTCTGAAACCACCTCTTCCTCTTCCTCTTCCTCTAAAACCACCTCTATGTTCAAATCTCTTTCTCTGAAATCCATTGTCTTGTTTGCCTTCTTGACTAGCTTGTCCACCATATACACCTCTACCAAACTGTCTCCCTTCACGAAAACCTGGATCTAAATCAATTTCTAAAACTTGACTGTCCAAGTTAGTTCCCTTAAGAAATTTCATTGCATTTAATGACCCTTCCTCTCTTTTGTATATGACGAAGCAAAAACCACAAGGTGTCAATTTATTTCTATCCAATCCCATAATAATTCTATCAATTGTCCCACATTTCAGAAACAATTCATGTATCTGCTCTTCACTAGTGAAATGTGATAAATTACCCACGTAAACTGTTTTCAGGTGTAAGGCTCGGTTCAAGTTATCAAAATTTTGTCTACGGACAGCTTTCTTAATCAAATACTGAGATGGTCTATCTAGTCTTTCTGCTGAATGCTTGTAATCCTCTTCTAAAAGTTCCATATTATACTTATTATTTATTAAATGATGGAATATATAGAAATTGTTGATAGTTTTCATACTGAAATAAATTATCATCTCAGTGAGGTGCTGAAAAATTAGTAATTTACAGGTTATTAATATTTCCTAAAACACATAAACCTATAGATCAGCTAGCTGTAAACCCAACGGTAACGCAGGCCATGTTCAAGTCCATATTCAAGACAGGGATCAGGGCAGCATACAATGTTCTGGAGAATCCATCTTTTGTCTCAGAGCCATGGTATATTTACCCTGCAAAACATAAAACATCGGGACAAGCGGTGTCGGTATTTATCTTTGACAAATCAAAATTCGAAGCTCAAGTAAATAGAATATGTGCATCGAGTTCGAACACCAAGAATCCTAAGGTGATTATCAGCGAATGCTATGAACTTCTTAAATTTGAAATTAGTCAATTGGCCAAGTTGAAGCATCCTCAGATCTTAACGATTTTTGAGGTTTTGGAGGAAACCAAGCTGAAATTTTTGTTTGTATCAGAGCTGGTTACGGATAACTTGCTAACTGTGAATGTATCAAAGGATTTAGACGAATTGAGCATACAAAAAGGGTTATTGCAAATAGCAAAGGGGCTCCAGTTTCTTCACAACTATTGCCAAATTATTCATCTTAACTTACAGCCGTCATCGATTTTTATAAATAGCCAAGGTGATTGGAAATTATCGGGCTTTAGATTTCTACAGAATTTAAACGAGATTTCTCCACTGGATAGAGATAATTTCTATATTATGAACAATTCTTCTGTAGTGCCATTTGCTAATCTTAGTCTAAACTTCACAGCACCAGAATTGATCGTTGATAGTCTGCAGAAATTGGATACTGCAAATGACATTTGGTCTTTGGGGTGTTTAATCTATTTTGTTTATAATAATGGCGAATCTTTGATTAATTGTTTTGATTCCAATAGCATTTCAGATTATAAGACAGAATTTAGGAAGTTTGAAAACAAGTTCTACAACCACAGACCCAGTGAATTGAAATATTTATTGAAAGATGTTCCTGATAAGCTTTATCATGTTTATTCGCAAATTTTAGCTAGATACCCCCATGATAGATTGACGATTGATCAATTTATAAACTTGGATTTCTTTAGTGGTAGCATGATCAAAGCTATGTGGTTTATTGACGAGTTCTCTACTAAATCAATGGATGAGAAACTAGTGTTTATGAGAGGACTTTTACAAACAGACCAAACTACCAATACCACCTTATTGGAGCAATTCCCATCGGGATTCAAGACCCTGAAAATATTACCATTAATGGTCGATTTGATCGTGAGTGAGTTAAGTATATTGAGTTCTAAACTGATTGATACTGATACCGATGAAGCGATCTCGCATGCTCTTACAATAACACTTTCAATTGGTTCAAAACTTTCCAGTCTTACATTTCAAGACAGAATTTATGAACAACTTTTCAAGGATGAATCTAAAATTAAGAAATCCAACCAAAAAGATGTATTTAATAAGCTTATCAACGCTTCAGTGAAAATACGGTTAAATATCGTGGAAAACTTACCTACTTTAGTAGCTAAGTTAAATGAGAAACAATTATCTGCGTTGATTAAACAATCACTTTCTCTCTTCTTAACATCAGCTCCGACGGAAGCAAATCAACAACAAGAGCAAATTAAATTACAAGAAACTTTCCTCCATCAGTTAAATTTAATTATCGAAAAGTTGGATTTCCCTTATATCAAGAACACGTTGTTTCCATTAATCTGTCAAGTATTTAAAACGACTACCATTTTGTCAACAAAGTTGGCTACGGTAGATACATTTGGAATGTTAATTGATAAGAGGATTATAGACAAAGTGATAGTATGCGAGCAATTATTACCAATTTTACAGAATTTGAAAAGTCGTAATAAGAAGATCATTGAAAGCGTTCTTAAGTTTTTTGTCAAGCTATGCGAAAGCGAGCATGTGTCCTTAGATTTGGATTCAATTGTGGAGTCAATATTACCCGAATGCTTTAAATTAACGTTTGGGTGCAATGATTGCAGCCAATCTGAGTTTAAGACATATATGAAAATGGTTCATCAGATCCAAACGAAACTAATTCAAAGCAAGGTAAACTCATTACCGGCAAAGACAAGAGATCCTTCAGTTACTACACCTGCTAGCAACTTTGAATCATTAATTAATACCCAAAGACTTAATGAGGGCGACAAGGACCAGATTACTCGTGCACCTCAAACTAAAAGCATAATGCAACCTACTAGGAAGCCTATAGAAGCAAAGTCGTCGATGTCGAGTTCATCGACTAAACCGAAAACTACCACGCCATTAGCATTGAAACCTAAACAAAAAGCTGCTCCAAAAAAACCACTATCATTTGGTGCTGTTAACAATAACACCAACACTAACAATACAGCTCTATTGAATACATTACACGGAACATTTAATCAACCTCAAAAAGATGAAGATGAAGATGAATTCGATGAGTTCCAAAATGCCGAGGCTATTACAAATGCATCCCCCATTAATTGGAATACTAAAGCTCAAAAATCAGGAATTGCCTCGTCTCAACAAGGCACTATGCAACAAACTACAAACTATCCACCTGGGTTTACCTCTTCAATGGTATTAACACCAAATAATACTGGTAAAAATAACACAATTACTAATAAACCAGCCCCGAATTCTAAGAATTCTGATCTTCTAGACCTTTTGTAAATATATTTATCGAGAATAGATTACTAATAAATTTCCGAGATGACTATAATATGATAGGAATTGCGCATTCGTTGAAACTCAATGAGTACTTTGCAATTTTTATCAGATAAACTATTTACATCTAATTAATTAATCGTTACAATGGGATACCCAAAGACATTAAAAGCAGTTTCTAGGAAATTGACTAATAATATTGTAATTGCATCATGTGGCTTTACTAGAGGTAACACGCTTAATTTTGGTGCTAGAATGGCTTTGTTTAATTATGATAATGATATTGTGGTTTGGTCAGCAATTCCTTATGGAGATGAGGTTGTTAAGGCATTAGAACTATTAACAGGAAATAATGAAGGTGTATTCAATATAACACACTTGGTTATCCCAGATAAAGAACATACAATGGCTGCTAGATCCTTCAAATCGAACTATCCTAACATGAAAATTATCGCAATGGAGACAGTGGATTTGGGCAAGGATTGTCCAATTGACTACACAATTACGTCGAAGGTGGCTAATCAGCTAATTGATAAACGTGCGTTATCAGAAGATATAGGAATCCAAGACTCTGTTATTTTAAACAATTTTGAATTTGTATATCTCCCAACACATGCAAATAAGGAGCTAGTCATGTTTGATAAGAATTCTAAAATTCTCTTCGAAGCTGATTTGCTATTCAATTTGGGAGTTCCAGGAACAACATCAGGGAAGGTCACATTGGAACAATTTTCCACTTCCACTGGTTATCCGGAGAATTTCAAGCCTCATCTGGGCCGTTCATTCTTAACCAGGTACCTTCAACCCAACAGTAAGGTAGGAAATTGGCTAACTAAGTCAGTTGCCAAGACTAGTAACCCAGATTCGCAGAAAGGATTGAGAGCGATCTACAATTCATGGGACTTCGAGAAGATTGTAATGTGCCATGGTAACATTATCGAGAAAGATGCTAAAGGTGCATTCAGGAGCGTATTCAGCAGTGCATTGGAATGAGCATTATTTATTACTTCGCTGATAAGCAAGATATATGCATAGTCTATATTAGTATTGTATTACTTTACTACATAATTTATATTTTAAAAAAAGAAATATCTAATGTGTAAACTATCATGATTATTTCTAGGCTTCACCTCAAATGAAATACTCACTCACTTCATTGGTTATTGGTTATACAAAGAAATAACACAAACTTTCAGCATTTGTATCATTTATTACTGTAAGGCGTTGAACGTTTTACAAGTTGTACTAGTTGTATTGTACCATCATACTTCAAGCTATTATTTTGCGAAAGTGATAATTTCGTTTACTGTAAAACAAGACAATTATGGGATATCCTCACCCTTTGCAGACGATTTCACGTCAATTGAATGAAAATACAGTCATTACATCATGTGGGTTCTCGTGTGTTAGTATATTCAATTTTGGTGCTAGAATGACTTTAATTAAGTATGGAGATGAAATTATCGTATGGTCACCCATCCCTTATGGAGACGAAGTCATAAAGGCATTACGCTTGTTGACAGGTAATAGCAGCGGTGTATTTGACATTGCATACCTTATTATTCCAAATAATGAACATAACTTGGCTGCTAAGTCGTTTAAGGCTAGCCATCCTAACATGAAAATTATTGCACTGGAGGCAGTTGATTTAGGGGTGGAATGTCCTATTGACTACCGATTTACTAAGGCAATCGGAAACACATTAATTGATCAAAGTGTATTATCAGAAACAGTGGGCATCCTGAGTCCAGCAATTTTGAATAATCTTGAATTCGTCTATTTGCTGAATTCTATAAATAAGGAAGTGGTAATGTTCGACAAAAATTCGAAAGCAATGTTTGAAGCTGATATTCTTGTGAACTTAGGTATTCCTGGTTCAACATCGGGTGAAGCTACATTAGAACAGTATTCCACGTTAACTGGGTATCCAGAAAATTTCTTGCCTCATTTTGGTTTGTCTTTCTTTACTAGGTACCTTCAGCCATATAGTAAGGTTGGAAATTGGTTGGCTAGCCGTGTAGCTAACAGTTCTAATCCGAACACTCAAAATGGTTTGAAAGTAATCTACGATTGGGATTTTGAACAGATTGTTATGTGCCACGGTAATATTATTGATAGGAATGCTAAGCTGGCATTCAAAAACGTTTACCAATCTGTACTTGAGTAAACAATTTTTAGGTCTTCAAGCTTAATTTTTTTTCCCTTTTTAATTAAAGTGACTTATATATGAAATATATTGCTTAGTTTGTTAAGGTTATATGTGTAATACTTACATTATTTTGCGTATGGTTGTTATTATGTGTAGCTCAGAGCATCTTCAGCTGCAAAATTGGTGATAGCCGAGCAAGGGAACATTTGGGACTATTCCCACGGCTACTTCAACGGTTAATAATTTAATTTTAATAAAAGTTGTTCTTTGTAATACAACTAGATAAATACGATTGTTATACAGATGACTTGCGATTTGCAAATAGAAGCTAAGCATGAACTTACTACACACCCTGTTTTTCTATCTTATTTAGGAAAATATGAGAAACATACTAGAGATAATAATCAACCGTTAATACAAGAGAATATCTGGCCCATACTTACTGGAGAAACACTTATTGGCACTGGCAAAATTAACTATAGAGGTGATTCTATGTACATGATAGATGATAGATATCTTGGTTCTGAAAATGATATTGAAAAATTAGGTCCCGAAGATAATAATAGGTCGTACACTTTTTTCCACTTGGGCCATAAATTATCAGGCCATGAAAAAATAATACATGGTGGGCTATTGGCTACAATGTTAGATGAATTAACTTGTAGATTAGCCTTTCAAAATAATCATTCCGGATCCGGGGTTACTGCTAACTTAAACATTAACTATAGGCAGCCATGTTTTGTAAACACTTATGTTTTAATTAAGTGTGAAGTATTACGTAAAGTGGGCAGAAAGTGCTTTGTAAAGGGATATGTCTACAAGGTTGATTTGGACGACGAAAATGTAGAGGTTGAACGGTCTGAGAATTTGTTGACTGAATGTGAATGTTTAGTTATTGAACCTAAATGGGTTAAAGATCTAAAACATGATTAGAACTTTGATAACAATTGTATGCTACGATATTGTATGCATTATGTTATTACTATTTATTATATATTATCTATTATTTATTATCTATTTTTATTAGTGAATAATTTTATCTATAAACTATCTGTACCCTTGACTTTGCTTTGACCAATCTCCATCTTTGCACTCTTTGCACCAAATTGGATGGCTCTTTTCAATTCATCTTTTACCCAATGTAATTCTAAGTATTCAGCTAATTCCCGCAAAATCCATTTTCTAATAGGCTTCATCACTAACTTTTCACCTTTCTTCTTTGTCTTCACCAATTCCCAATCAAAGTAAAGTTTCAAATTGGGTTCAAGCTCATTAACGACATAATTAATAAACTTTTCATCAAGATATGGATACCTTAATTCCTTGCCCCAGGATGAGATCACTCTATCATCTCTTCCCAAATTTCGCTCATGAATAATTTTTATATCGTAAATCAAAGAATCAGATAGGGAATTGTATTTTTCAAGTCTTTGTTCATTATAGCTTGGGTCATCCGGCTTAACTAACGAATTGAAGACTGATTCGTGCCTTGAATAACCAGCAAACAATTCGTCTGCACCCAAACCAGAAAACAATACCTTTGCGTGAGACTTATAACCGTCTTGAATATTCATGTATTTTGATTCATCTAGTTTAAATTCTTCCCATGTTACATTCGGGTCGCTTAAATCCAATTTTAAACCATTTTCACACTTACTTGCAAAATAGAACGCAATTGCTATCGACAAGTCCATTTCAGTGTTGCAGGGATACATTAATTTCTCTACCCTTTTCTTATTTATCAACCATTCCTTATAATCGACGTTTATTTCAACTAGCCTTATTGAAAAATTATCGTTATTGAACAACCTGCTTAAGTGGAACCAAGACTTCTTACTCAACTGTCTATCTGGAGACTCAGAAGCTTTCAAATTTGTTCTAGGGTTATCGAAACCTACAGTAATCAAGTCAATTTTGGAATTTGGGACCTCTTGTAAGTTTCTGCTTATCAAGGCTGCTAAAATTGTGCAATCCAATCCACCTGAAAATAAGATACCAATATTTGCTTCCTTTATATCTGGATGTAGCGGTTGTATCGTCGATTGTCTTATGTAGCATGCATCATTCAAAGTCTCAAACAATTTAACTAACTTAGCGTCTAAAGGTTTCTCAAAGTTAAACAAACTAGAAAGGGGGTTAAAGTGCAAATTGTTAGACGAATCATACTTCTCCCAGAGAGATTCGTAATAAACAGTATCTAAAATTAAATCTTTAAGATTAAATACTTTGATTTCATTGCTTTTACACTCTTTAAAACTATTGGAATGACCTGGAGGTAAAGAACTAATAATGATTTCAGGACCACTCTCTATTGAATCAAGATTATCAATATTATAGAGCAAAGATCTCCGACCAATGTAGTCTCTACCAAAATATAGCTTTGATTCAAGAAGATCGTATATAGTAAATGCAAATTCCCCGTTTAGCTCGGTTATAGTTTTCAATATTCCTTCGCCTCTGTTGGTCGACGAGATATTATAGACAAGACGTTCCATTATGAACTCTGTGTCATTAGAATGTAAACATTCCAGGTTGTAAAGTTCACCGTTGAATTGTAGAATTAGATTATGATTATGAATGGGTTGAGAATAAAACGGTTGTCTCAATGACAAGATTGACGAGAAGAGCTGGAAGCTGTTGCTTGAATCTCTAAATTGCAAATACAGCAAATAATCTGGCCCTCTGCTGGCGATTTTAATCATCAATGACTCAAAGATATCCTGAGTTTCAGCATTATTTTCGTCTTCTAATTCTGTTCCTATGATCTCATCGATCTTCGCTTGTATGTAAGTTTTAGCAGCATCAGCTTGATCATTTTTCTTTATCACATTATTCAATTTAATAAGCTGGGAATTAAGGTTTCTTAACTCTTCTAGGTTGGTTAATTTGTTTTGATCAGAGACATTTAGTTTCAAATCGTTTTGCAAATCAACGTCGATAAAATTTTTCAAAATATATTGCAGATCGTCACTTTCCCATTTAGTGAAGATATTTTCAGTTGAAAGAGGTGTGAGTATCGCTGGATGGTTAATATCACTACCAAGTTTCACACGACAAAGTATTCCACACATAGCTTGTGGTGAATTATGACTTATAAAGGCTCATTTTTGATAAGTACATACTTCTGCGACTGCGAACGGTCTGCATGATTTTATCGATGCGGTCGAACAATACGGCTAGGCCATAGCTGCTAAAAGGTCCTAAATGTTTACTTTTATTTCTGAAAGATGGGTGATGGGTTTATCATATCATTCTATTTACAAGTCCATATTAAAGATTATAACCGCTACTGCTTACTTCTGGGTGAGCTATGATGTTGCTCCTTCTAAATTAAACCAAATAGTGACATGGAGCTAAGGATATAGTCCCGATTGCTCTCAACGAGATATATAAACTTTTTATTATAAGTTCCATAAACTTTAAAGCTTAATGAGTACACTCAAAAAAATATTCAGAGTATTAAACCTCCTCATCTATAAGTTGTCAGCTAGAATTCTAACGCAACTTCTTGAAAGATTCAACTGGTCCAAAATTCAAGTCGGGATGATCGGCAGTATAGATTGGCTCTATCGATTCGATGCTCAAACCATATTTCCGTTTATTTAATTCGAGATCGACAACTGAACATACAAATGATCCATCAATGTTATAAGGAGGGGTGTCTAGATTCCATTTCCCAACCATTATTTCATCAACCACCTTTTCAATGAAATTGTCAACTAGCGGAGAATCTCGGTTTAAATGAATATAAAGGAAGTTTATGCAATAATAGTATTTGCTCCTTGAATATACCAAGATTGAATCGTGCTTTAGATTCTTAAAATAAAAATCGAAATCCTTGCGTAAATCTTCGAAATATGCATCAGTTTCGATATGACCCATTTCATTTGGCACTGGTTCTTCGTCCAGTTCAACACACATATGTTCTACATTTGCTGCAAAACCTATTTGCATGTCTTTTTTATCGTAGGCAATCAAATCAACAGACTTTGAATCCTTGCGTTTAATTTGATAGGAAGCAACTAGCTCACAGCTATCGCAAGACTTCATCATTTTGTCAAAGGAATCACATCCTTCAAATATATTAGCTGTAGGCGGTATTTGCTCAGAGTCCAAGGATGATTCTGATTCTGATTCTGATTCTGATTCTAAATCTGAAGCAAATGTGTGAGAATATAGAGGTTCTATGGAAGTTACATCTTTACCTTTTTTCTGTAGATTCAATACTAGGTCAACAATCGAACACATAAATGACCCATCAACATTATAAGGATAGAGCTCCAAATGACACTTACCAGCTTCTAATTGATGGATGACCCTTTCAGAAAACTGCCGAACCAGAGATGAGTTATTGTTTAAGTGGATATAGAAGTAATTAGTAGTTACATTATCACATTTAGCGTACACAATAAAAGAATCGTAGTTTTCTTCCAAAATATTGTCGAAATATTTGTCAATTCTATCCTTCAAATGAGCGTCGCAGACTGTAGTAACTGTATGTCCAATCTTTTCCAATATGTGTAGCATTTCAACACATTGATTTATAACTACCTAAGAAGCGAAGAGAAATACCGAGAACAAAATATATTTGATATTTGGTAGAGACATCTATATCCTATATGATAATAAAATGGTCGCTGCGCATTGCCATTAGGACTGTCTGTTGTGATATCTCTACTGTTAACTTAAGTCACTTTTGCCTCTTGAGACATGTCTCTCAATGCCTCTAATACTTGCTTTTCCTTATTGACAGGAACAAATAGATGATCATGAAAGAATCCACTGACAGGGTTTACTCCAATACCCAAATTTTTTAATGTGTCAAGAATGCGAGCCAAGAACCCTACGGCATCGAGACTGGAATGGATATTTAAAGTTATCATACGACAGGGAAATGCGTAATCTAACCCCATTTCTTCTGCAGCCAGTTTGGAAGTAATGACCGTCAAACCTTCTGTTTCTTGGAACACCATCACTTGTGGTTGCAAAGATGGAGGAGCAGCTTTCTCCGACTTAGGTAGTGTAATAAAGACAAATGTGTCAGGATGAATACTAGGGTTCATTGAAGCCAATAGGATATCAAGTTCTTGCTCTCCAACACTCATTTTCTTATATCTGACTTCTGAATATTTACAAGTAACTAATTTGTATAACTATGAAGAATACTGGCTTTTAAGTAATGAAATTTGGTAGATCAAATACTATATATTGCGCAAATTAATTGCGCTTTTATCTGAAAAGGTGATGTAGATATTATTCGTCAGCCTATAAACTGATTTGATACGATGACGCCATAAAGACCTTCTTATTTGGGACTACGAGAAAACTGGCCGAAAGCTTCTCTATATGATTACTACATGGTCGTTATACTAAAAATTATTTTATTACTTCTGGAAGATGGTGACGTTTCTATCGTCTCACTTTTGCAAACCTCTGCTAACCTGTAGCACAACTCTAAAACCAGTACTATACATAATATACAAGATCATTAGTTAACATTAATCAACCCCTTACCACTTTCTCTTAAATGAGCAATTAGCTCATTGTTCTTATATTCATCAATAATATCATTAAATCTGCCGACTGGCAAACCGCCAACAAACAACCTTGGGATCTCTCTAGCTGGAGGAGCTTGCTCGTCTTCGTCATCGTCATCGTCATCTTCGGACACTTCGTCAGTCGAAGTCCCATATTCGTGCTTGGCGTATTTGTGCAAGTAATCCACTATCTCTGTGTGGTGTGGGTGCTTGGACAAATTAACCACTTTAGGTTCTGGGTTGATGTTGAGTGATTTGAACAAGATCTCAAGGAACTTATTCTTTTCGGGCAAAGACGTCACTTCGTCGTCGAGCAAAATCGTCACCGGAGAAATCAGCATCATTTCTTTCAAGTCAAATGCGACGTTAATGGTGTCGGACACCATAGCAGTGGCTGAGGGCTTGTTGCTCTGCTTAATATGATCGTCCAACTTCAAAATCTCTTCCGATACTGTCTTGGACTCACTGAGTGAGCTCAAATCCAACAAACCCACGTCACTCGTAGCAGTAGGACCTTTACGGTTCCAGCGCATACCAGGCTTGTAAGTTGTCTCTTCATCTTGTGCTTTTTGATTGTAGAGACGATGCATCAATTCTGCCTGCTCCATCTTGAATTGGTCAGTCGACGAGATCTCCGACTTATATCCACATGCTCCCTTCACCCCCAAAAATACCAACACTATCATCAAAATGGGAATCAACAACAATATACTGTCTGCCACGCGGTATCTTTTTTTCTTTTCTGGCTCGTCGTCCCTAATCAACTTTTCTATGTCCGAGTCGAACTCCTTCCCACCCGAATGTCTTCTTTGCAGCTGCATCGTTTTATGTATCTGATCTGATCAAAAATACTATCAGGAATAGTAAAATCTTCCACTGAAGTTATATAAAAATATTCAAATACAAACCAATGTAAACAATATTGCAAACACTAACAAGTTGGAACTAAAAAATTAACCGATTAATCAATTAACCAAATAACCACCAATTATTTTAGTATGCTAACAACAAAAGTTTAATTAATCCAATAAATTAAATAAACAGCCGAACAGTCTATAGTGTTAAAAAGAAACAATTATGTCAAGAGTCGCAACTTTCGTCAGGAAAATCATCATATATATACTTTAATAATACGAACAATAGAACAATGCGACGAAAATTCGTTACTCTGGGGTTAACAACAATCTAGAAGTCGCGGTCGTCGCGGTTTGTTCTGCAGGCGTTAGTGTCAGTTATTTCGCATGTGAGTGGGTCCGCCTTCAGTTAATGAGCTAATAAAGGTCCCTCTAAATGAGGGGACATGTAAAGTTGAGCAGTCTGGTACGAAGTGTGGTGAGCCAAATAGCTAGACTTGCTAGTTCGTAAACTGGTAAGATAATAAAAAGTTAATGGAATAGGAGTCGCTGATGAGTAAATATGTACATCACGAATACACGGATGTGCGCGCAAAGTATATCTGACCAGTAATAGACGGTATTAAAAACGTAATGACCCTTTAAAGGTATTGTTCGAAGGGAAATTTATGCATTAATGCGTTTCTTGTCTTATATAGGAAACAAGACACCCATTCAGGGACTTAGGTGATGGCATTTAGGGCATCAAATGGTCACACGATTGTTCGACGCGGATTGATGTAGAATTAACTGGGATATCTTTGATCATATATTCGTATATAGGATATATCTGAACTGTAAAACTTGAACAGTAGAAATTAGAAATTTAGAACTGTAGACAGTATAACTAGTTTGTACTTAGAACTCTAGAAATCTAGACTTGAGAAATAAAGATAGAAAAGGAGAAGGCGGATACGACTTGCGGAAGTAAGCTAAGGCCGGACCGAAAAAATAATTCAAGCTTCTAAAGGCTCCAGAAGTCGGTCAAGTTGCCCCCACCACCGTTATAGGCCAATAAGTTAGGACTCAAGCCATCGGTCAAGTCATTGATGACACCCTTGGTACTGTACTTGAGCAATTTGGCCTTCAAGGAGAGCGGATCAGCGGGCGTAGCATACTGGGAGGATACTTCCGGTTGTAACGACAAGTAGTACGATAAAAGCCCGGCGATGTGTGGTGATGCCATAGAAGTACCCGACATGCTTACAGTCTTACTCCATGTGAAGGTTGAGAGGATGTCTTCACCGGGGGCGAATACATCGACACATCTTCCAAAATTGGAGAAGCTTGCCTTCGAGTCCTTGTTGTTGGTAGCACCGACAGTAATTGGTCCAGTGGCTCTAGCTGGAGAGTACTCACACGCATCTTGGTTATCATTACCGGCGGCAACGGCGATGTGCAAACCTGCTTTGGTTCCGGCATTGACTGCTAGATCTAAAGCTTCCAGGATACCTCCTCCAATCGACATGTTGACCACTGAACCCTTGAAATTCTTCTTCTTTCCATTGGAATTCGCCTTGTGGTCGTTAACCACGTACTCAAGTCCCTTGATGATATCAGACGTAGTACCAGATCCCAAGAGATTCATGACTCCTACAGCAACCAAGTCCACTTGCTTTGCGATACCGTATGTCTTACTGCCAATAACACCTGCACAATGAGTACCATGGCCATGTCCATCAAGCTTGAGCTTAGGCAATGGCACAACTTCTCCCCATTGTGCTCTACCTTCGAACTCTTCGTGTTCTACCTTGATGCCGGTGTCGACAACATAAGCAGTAACTCCTCTACCTCCTTCATTGTCAAACAAATAGTCGACAGTAGGCGCCAACTCACGGTGACTGATTCTCGATAACCCCCATGGTGCCTCCTTTTCCACATCAAACTCTCTTGTGTGGAAAACAGTCTCACGTTCAACAAACTTGACCATCGGATTATGCTGAATTTTCTCAAGCAAAGCATCATTAAAATAACCAGCATAACCCCTAACCAAGTCGTGGATATTAAAGAAGTCTACCATAGCATCATCGCCGTATTTGAACATCTTCTTCCAAATACTGCTCATCGCGCTATCCTCATTCGAAACCATCAGCTTGTACTCTGTTTCAACCCATTCTTTGTGCAGTTTCATCTGTTCGGTATCAATACCATCCTTCAATACAATCACATATTTGTGAGGAACAAACTCACCTTTGAGTCCCTTGTTGAGCATTGGCGCAAACCCATGGTATTCGCCTTGGGATGTATCCGCTTGCTTAATCTTAACGGAGTCTGATAACTGGTCAAATCCCAAAATTGATTGAAGATCAGGGATAACTAATGCAGAAGTTATCGACACCTGTACCGCTGTAGCTAATATTGCTGTTTGTAACTTCATTATTACTAAATATCGTAAAGAAGAACAACAGAGTATAACTTTTGCCCCCAGCTTCTTATCTATAGATAATGGATTATGTTTCACACGACCTAACCAACCATCATTTTTTTTGAAGAAATACCCTATTTAGCAAAGATATTGACCCTTTGAAAGGGTAAATAGAGTCTGTCTATCGATAAAAGGGCCTAATCTCCCTTTAAACGAAGAATTGTTTATATAATTGCCATGTAGGTTGACAAATGCTTCTGGTTACTAGTGGTAATATCCACAATTGTCAGAAAATTAGGACAATCGAAAAACTAGACAGCTAGTAGTCTCGTACTCCTATACTTCTCTTACTAACAGTCAACAACCGCCCAGAGATCCTTTTTGTCGTCTATTAAGTGTTCACTGGGTGTGGCTGGAGTTGAAAGGCTAATGTGCCCAAATATACTCAGGATCAAGCGCTTAACTGGGTTTCAACGCGTAATCTACAGACCGTGTTTTTGACCACGTACGAAGAAATCGGGTTGTTCATATCGTCAATAACATGGATTAGAAGGCTTTTTCCATTATTCTACATACCAATTCAAGCAAAAAAGACATGTCGAGTAGAAGAAGAGCATACCCACAACCACAGTATGCTGCTACACCGGCAGTTCCTGCCGCTGACCCACAATTTCAGCAATTTCAGCCCCAGCAGACTCAAGGTCAACCTCAACAGCCTCAAGGATATGGGGCAGGTAGTCCAGCATATGGAGTTGATCAGGTAAACCAGCAATTTCAAAATATGAATGTTGGTGGAGGAGTTGCGGGCCAACCAATGGCTAATCAATATCTGGGTCAATACCAACCACCACCTTCACAAGCCAACCCACAAGCACCTTACCAGGCGCCAGGAGCAGACTCATTTGGAAGTCAGTTTGCCCAGCACCCTCAATATGCACAGCCAGGTATGGTTGGAGGAGCTGCAGCTTTGCCATTGAATCAATTGTATACTACTGATTTATCGAGGGAGTTGCCTCCATCAATCACCGATTTGTCATTACCTCCACCCCCCATAGTGTTACCAGCTAATTCAGTGGTGGTTCCTACATCTGAAGATTCGAATGCTCCTCCTGAATACTTCAGATCGACATTGAACGTTTTACCAGCAAATAATTCTCTTTTGAAGAAGTCCAAGTTACCGTTGGCATTGGTTGTCAGACCTTATAATACCTTGCACATCGACTCGGAAAACATTCCTGTCACATCTGATACAATCATCAGTAGATGTCGTCGTTGTCGTGGTTATATTAACCCATTCGTAACTTTGACTGAACAAGGTAGACGTTGGAGATGTAATTTTTGTAACTTGCAAAACGATATCCCAAGTGCCTTTGATTATGATGAACTTACAGGCACTGCCAAGAACAAGTTTGAAAGAGTTGAATTGAACCACTCGGTTGTTGAGTTTGTGGCTCCAAAAGAATATATGGCAAGGACTCCACAACCAATTGTTTACACTTTTATTATCGATGTTTCGATTGATGCAGTTAATAGTGGTTTGACTAGTACTATTACCAGAACAATTTTAGAAAGCTTAGATCGTATTCCAAATGATAATAAAACCGCAAGAGTTGCTTTCATTGGGGTTGATTCCAACTTACACTATTTTAAATTCCACGAAGGTTTAGATGGGACTGATTTATTGATTGTCTCCGATATAGATGAACCATTTTTACCATCTCCTGATGGATTGTTAATTAATTTGAATGAAAATAGATCTACTATCGAGAAATTATTAATTGATTTCCCAACTTATTTTGAAGGCACAGCTAATGATAGGTTCGCATTGGGTCCTGCTTTGAGAGCCGGTCATAAAATGATTTCGAACATTGGTGGTAAATTGATCTGTTTCACCGCTACTTTACCAAATATTGGTGAAGGTAAGTTGACATTAAGAGATGAAGCTAGTCACTCGGGTAAACCAAAAGAATCCCAAATGTTGTTGTCCAATGCTGATAAATTTTATAAGAGTTTTGCGGTAGAATGTAATTCTGCACAAGTTACTGTCGATTTATTTTTGACTTCTGCTAAATATCAGGATGTTGCATCATTGGCCAATTTACCACGCTTCACTGCAGGTCAAACTCACTTTTACCCTGCCTGGTCTTGTGCCAAAGCTGAAGATGTTACAAAGTTATCTAGAGAAGTTAGCGAACATTTGTCAATGGATATTGCTTTGGAAGCCGTATTAAGGGTCAGAGGTTCCACAGGAATTAGAATGAGTTCATTCTACGGTAACTTCTTTAATAGATCTTCTGATTTATGCTCATTCCCTACTTTCCCTAGAGATCAAAGTTATTGTATTGAGATGTCTATTGAAGAAACAATTCACAAGTCAGTTGTTTATTTCCAAGCAGCTGTATTACATTCAACCTGCTTTGGTGAAAGAAGAATTAGAGTTATGAATTTGGCAATTCCAACCTCGACTAAATTAGATGATATTTTTGCCTCTGCAGATCAATTAGCTGTCGCAAATTATTTCACACATAGGGCAGTCGAAAAGGCATTTTCAAGCTCGTTACCAGATGCTAGAGACTACTTGGTTAAGTCTATAGTTGATATTTTAAATGTCTACAAAAAAGAATTAGTAGCTGGAAACGTGTCTGGATCCTCACCATTACAATTATCAACTAATTTAAGAATGTTACCATTGTTATTGTTTTCATTAACTAAACATTTAGCCTTAAGACAAGAAAGAGTACCATCTGATCACAGAGCAGCCGCTTTGAATTTATTAAGTTCATTACCAATACCACATTTAATCAAATATATCTATCCAACTGTCTATTCATTGCATAATATGGGTGATGAATGCGGATTACCAGAGCAAATTGTTCAAGCCAATGAAGAGACAGGAGAAGAAGAAACAGTTAGCTCCACAGAAATTTTGTTACCTGAGCCATTAAACGATACAAAAGCCTCATGGGAGAACTATGGCTTATACTTGATTGATAATAGCACTGAATTATTCTTGTGGGTCTCGGGTGATGTGGTTCCAGGCTTAGTATATGATTTGTTTGGTACTGATAACTTATACAGTGTACCAACTGGTAAGACTGAGTTACCCGAATTTTCATTTGAAGAATCTGAGTTCAATTACAAAGTTCGTCAAATTATTGGAAAGATTAGAGAGCAGAAGGATTCTGTTACTTGGAAAAATCTTTATGTTGTTATTGGTGGTTCTTCGAATGAACCAATCGAGATTTCTCAACAACGTGATTTGATGGCTTTAAGAATGTGGGCCTTAAGTTGCTTAGTTGAAGATAAGACTGCTAGTGAGCCAGGTTATAGGGAATTCTTAACATCATTAAAGTCAAAGATTACTCAATAATTATAAGAGCATCATGTACCATGTTTATTAAATATATATATATACATTGTTTATCTCTGTATAGTTTCATCTTTGTTAGACGACAAAATACTTTAAAAGTACAAAATTATAGTTATTGTTTCTTCCGATTACGATTTAAGCTATTTTGATCCTTCAATAGCATCAATTGCATCGATTAATAAATTGCCTTCTTTGGTGCCTTTGAAATTTTCATTTATAGAATTTCTTATGCCTTCAAAATAAATTTTTAAATTTTTAGCTATTGGACCACCTCTTGCCATTGTGGCTACAATATTCTTCTTGAATTTATAAGATAATACTGGCCAGTATAAGTCGAATAAATTGTTAATAGAATTATTAGAAATTGTTTCATCTAAGAGACTTCCTGCGTTATCTTTGTAATTTGTATTAGAGATATCACAACTCGATAGAATGTTTTCTAGTTTGTTAAGAAAATCTGATGACGTATCTTTAACTTCATTTATTATTGCATTAAAATTTCTTGGTGATTGTAAGGACCTTGAAAGTTGAGTCAAACTTACTTGTACATGCTTGTTTATTGATTTTTCAATGATTTGAAGATACTCTTTTTCGTTTAACGTATACAATGCAATTAGCTTATTTTGCAATTCAATATTATTAACCGAAAAAGAAATATGATGGCTGAAATCGTTCGATATTGATTGAACCCATTCATTTATAAGTGCATTCTGCTTGTTAATTTGGATAGCTTCATAATCTCTAATTAATTTTATGGACAATATATTTGCATTCGAATTCATAATTTTCAGGTTATTTTGTTCTTTTTCATTCTTATATAATTGTGAAATCTGTACATGGAGTTTAGCTAATCTGATTATATCTTTCTTCGAGCTTGATTGATCTTCCGCTTTAGTATTTAACTTCTCGATTTCTTCCAATTGCTGAACCAAAAACATAAAGTAGCCAGCACCTCGGAGTAAATTCAATGTCAAATGGATTCGTTTCAAAGCATTATTCTTTTTCAACGCCTCTTCGTATGGTTGGATGACGCCAGATTTAATTCTTTCAAATGAATTATTCACTCGTTCTACCAGTGGGTTGATTTTTTCGTTAACTAACGATTTAGTTTTCTCTATTTGTGAAAAGTTAGACATTAATGATTCATAATTTGTAGATGCTATGCTAGCCATCCTTTTGTCACATTCATCAATATCAAATTTCAATTTCTTCAATGGAGTTAGTCCATCTAGCTCAGATCCGTTCTTATCGTTTGTAGCTAATAGTAAATCGTTTGCGAATTGGAGAGGTTGAAATCCGGTTTCTAAGAATGCTTCAAAATCCTCCAATTCGTTCTTATTTTGAGTCATAGATGCCATTGTACGACGAACCTTTAGAGTGAAATCTAAATATTCTGTTGTATTTTTATCATTAAATCGTCGCGAATGATATTACTTGCCTAATGCAACGGATTACGGATTTTTAAATATATTAATGTACACGGGCTAGTATATAAAAGTCTATTCTGTTCTGTATTTTGGTTTACTCTGAGCTGGATCAGCGGTTTTTTTATGCTTTTTACCACCTCTTTTATGGAACATCTTTTTCTTAATTTTAGCGTCGATTTCTTTTTGAAGTTTCTTATCAACCTTCTTTCTTTCAA